GGATCGGCTTCACGAGAAAATCACTGAGCGATGACGTTACGTCCGAATGAACCATCGAAAGTTCCGCCTCGCTCGGCCCGTGACGTCGCTCGATCGCATGAAGCAGAAGAGAAAAAACCTCGAATAGCCGTTTCCGCGATGCACACGCCGGCTTTAATTGAATTATAATTCCCCGGCGCTGTCACGGGTTTCGTGTTTCCCGATAATTATCGCGCTCGATGAGTTCGTCCTTACTTTCGTGGAACACGGTTTCTCGTAGCGGAGCGTTCAGTGTTAACAAAGCGTTAAAGCGAGGCAGGTGTGCGTCCCTTTCAGCTTTTAGCGTAAGGCGCGCGACGAGCGTGGATCGCGTGATTACCGCGTTTATTAGGAATTAAGAATAACGGGGGCGAATAATCGAGGGACCGCTGTGGCGGGGGTGAAACGATGAAAACTCGGTGCACGGGATCGGTTCGGCGGAGGAAATCGTAATTCGCGTCTCATTGTCACGTCATTCTTCCTTTCCGCGCTATTGGAGAGGCTGCACGGCTCATATATTGCAAGCCGAGACGGTGCCGGCCCGTCACGGCGCAGCGTCTATAATCTGCGCGAGCCTTTTTTTTTCACGCGGCTGTGTGATGACACCCACGTGGTCTCCTAGAATCGCTTCGCCGCGATTCGCATAAAAGCCACCACCAATCTATGCGGACCTTTCTCCTCTCGTGTGTGTTAATCAATCTGCTTCCTACGCTTTCAATTATGTAACACGGCATTACGGCCCTAAGGAAATTCAAAAACGACACTCCCGACGGAGGCCTGGTGCGTACGCGCGACCGCGAGGCCTCTTGGACCTCCTTTATATCGGACGCGGACGGTTCTTATTGTTAGCCAACCGAAGATTCATAGGTACACGAAAGTATTCGCACGCCGGTATATTTATAGTTGAAGCGGATAGAGAATGCATCGTACAGTAAAATATTTTCAACGCGTTCTACACCCGGGATCGAGCGAGGTACGCGGGGAATAGTCGTTTCGGAGTAACGCATTTTTAAATGTTGCCGATCGTTATTCCTCGATTTTTCATTTCTTACGTGAACACAGATTTTTCTGGACTGGTTTGTAGAAATTGGTACGAATAAGAAACTTTCAACTATTGTGTGAATACTGATTTTTGTGGATAGATTCGTGGATATTGATACAAATAACAAATGTTTTTCTTGGATTATTCAGGTATGACATTTTCTTCACTGGATGGTGGATATTTATGCAACATTACATTTTCGTAGATTACTTCGTAAAATTGATGTATTCAGTTCCAGTTGATAAGTAGCTTTGTTGTATTAAGACTTAAGATATCATCCATGACATACAACAAAATTTTAAATACAACATATATTATAATCATTATGAAATTGCACGATTCATATCTAAACTGTGAAATTTTTATAAAATTTGCAAATTTAGAAAGGTACGGTAAATGATTTCATAAAAATTTTAGCTTACTTTTACATTGCTGTCGTTTTAACAAAATGCTATTGTTTAAGTAAAACATGAAATAACAAAAACTATAAAATTCTTGTATGCGAATACTTAATATACTAGAAATTAATACAACCCTTTTCTTATGATTATACTATTGTTGCACAGTAATACATATCAGTTGTTTTCCAATGATTTATTATATAAGTTTTTATTTTATCTGTATAAATCTGCTTATAGCTCTTCTTACTGTTACATTATTCAATGTATTACATTGTACAATATATTCTACCGTCTCCTATCTAACCTATTTGCCATAACTTAAGGTGAAATTGGTAGTTGATAATAATATAATATAATTGTTCTTTTGAGACTGGAATGCTGAAATGACCAATGAAATTATCAAGAATAATACCACAGTATTTGAGAAAAAGCTGGTTAATACATACATTGGCTGTATTAAAAAGGCAAATGAATACGATAAGGATTCAGTAATGGAATGCATACATTTTGACGAAAACAACACCTCTCCACATTTTGTATTCCGACTTAATCATGATTTACGTAACTTTTACGTGCTTTTGGTTAAAAGAATAAAAGCGAAGTATAATTTTTCTGAGGCGTAATGATTTTCAAAAATTAATATTCGTTTTTCTATTATATAAATACCAACTGCATTGAAGTGGTGATACTTATTATACAGATTAGAATTTACATTAAGGATAAAACGAACTTGTAAATGATACATTAATGTAATTCCTTTCTCAGCAACGCATGCATTAAAACATACGTGTTATTTTTTATTATTACAAATAAACACTTTTTACCTTTTCACATAACAATAAATCATATACAATTTCCATAAAACTATTAATTCAGTATCCATAATAAATTTTCAGTTTAAACAAAGATGATATAATTTCAATACAATTTAAGCAAAAATGAAACCACTGATATATAATTCATTCTTTGGAATCCTTATTTATACATTTAGATTTGATTCTGCTACAATTTGTCTAAACGTGAAAGTTTAATTTAATGAAGCTTTTAAAATATTTCTTTTGACTCTTAGCAAAAGTACTAATCTTCCAGTCTTTTCTTTCTTCCAAAATATTGAGAATCATACAAGAAATTCCATGTAACACCGAATTTTCTTCGTCTTGACTTCAATTCACTTTCAATTTTCTATTTCTGTTTTGAATTGAAGTCTCTATTTTCTCCTAATCAATTTCATTCAATAATTTGCGCGACATATATTTAGTTTTATTAATTTTACTGAAGAAAACTTAAGTAAGCGAAACCTTCATAGATCAATTCATATGATTTAATATAATTACTATTTTTTTACCAGGGATGATAACATTTTTATTTACAATTACATTTACATTTTGTTGATTCCTGGCTCTATTATTTTCGTTTATTTTTCCACACAAACATTTCTTTGTTATACAAGGGAATATAACTGATACAAGTCGCAGTCTTCCTTAACATCGAATTTTCATGAGGTATCTGGAATTATCTTTCCTAAAACATGGTAACTCTATTTATATCGCTTTGTAGTCTAAAAACAGTCTTCTTACATTCGCTCTTCTTTGCAAACCGCGTACATTTATTTATATATACGACAGTGAGGATTGCACGAGGTGGTCGTTTTCTCTATCCCTGCAAGCATCTGAATATTCGATAATTAACATTGTAATGGTAAAACCAATGATACAAAATTATTTACAAGAAACTGTACCGGTTCGGACTGGTTCTAAATCCGCTATGCAGATAAGTTGTCTTTTAACAGCCTAGTAGAACTGCTACAAATTTGGACAAAATCACTATTTATGCATATCAAAATATTGTATACTTTTCAAAACGTTATAAGTAAGTTTATAAGAGTTTTTAAAATTTTATAGATTTTATAAATAAGGCCACTTAATAAGGCTTGAATTTCAAATATTTATTAGTTTCTTTAAAAAAGATTTCCCAGCGTATCATCTGCCGAAAGTGAAAGCGTATACTCTGGAACAACAAAGTAAAGGTTTATTTCATAAATCTTCTGAAGTGTAATAAAATCGTATTTCATTTTTAATTATTCTATTTTCAATCATTGTAATCATTTGCAATTATGCAATTCTTATAATGATGAAAGTTTATGATATTGCGTATTCGTGTGAATATCTTTAGCAGTTTTTAAATGAATAAACAATGTATTCTTTTAATTAGCTGATATTAAAAATACTATTTTTTTAACAAATGGCTGTAACAATATATAACAAATATACGTTGCAAAAGGAACTATAACGGAGACTAAAATTTCAGATGTACTGGTTTAATAGTCAGTAATTGTTTCTAGTACCGATTCCGAAAATGTATCAAGAAAAACCCGTTTAAATCCTGGTTATGTTTGCTCTTAACTACAATAACGGTTTTACACAAAAGAAACCAATATTTTTACAGACTGATCAATGCAATTTTTAAAAGAAAACCAACTTTCGTACCCAACTTAAACGTATACGACCCTTTAACCGATTCGCTGCCAGCTACGAGATATCTCGTAATCTGCGCTACAAGTTTGGATGAACTGCTACTTACAGCGAGCGGCAATTTCGGGAAGAAAATAAGTAACTAACAATAAATAATAATTAACTCTTCATGACAAATAAAGAAATGATTTTGTTTTCTTAAATCAACTTTTGCCCCTCAGCGCAAGATATTCTGAATTTCTCCAATAGCGAATGGATTCACCTGTAAACTGTGGAATTTAGTTTCAAAAATGTCTCATTACATGCGCAATAAAATCAAACAATGAAGCATACACTGATTATAACGCAGGGCGAATGCACCCGTAACACAGTCTAACGAATATCTAAAGCATAACGAAGAAATACTACGCGTGTATATAAAAAAACTAAATAATCGATCGTTGAGAAATCGTTCATTTAGATCTTAGAAATTAGAGGTTTAAGAGTAGACAATTACGATACATATATGCATAACTGCGTTAATAAAAATCGACCCAAACATTTAGTAAATAATGCTTATAAAATTCAATATGAGTGAAATTGACTCGTTCCGTAAATCTAGTGTTAAACCATGCCCGAATCGGTTTGAACTGATATTACAGATACGCCGCCTATGCATGGGCGTATCCACAGACGGCTTCGACTAGCAAGAGCGAGAGAAAGAGCGTGCAAAACGAAACAGCGCGAAGGAAGGCCGCGACAAGCGGAAAAGAGAAGGAGGGATAGAAAGAGAAAGAAAGAGTGACTCGTAGGAGACAGTAAGAACCCGGCGCAACGGAAAGAGAGAGCAACATACGGGATCAAAGAGCCGCGACGAAGAACGTTGCTGGTAGAGCCGTCGCTGGTAAATCCGTGCACACGTACACCATCGCGGCGTTGGTGTAGAGCAGGTCGCGAGACCGCGGCGCAGCACGTCGGAGCCGTGAAAAGGCCATGGCGGTCCGCCGCCACTGGCGACGGCTCGGCCCAGGCCGAGTCGAGTCGAGCGGCGTCGAGCGGCGTCGAACGGCGTCGAGGGGAGTCGAGCGGACTCGAGTCGAGTCGCAAGTCACCTCCGCTCACCTTACGCCGCGGCCGACTTCAGTCCGCGCTCGAGTCGTGCACCACGGAACACGCGAGAGAGAGCCGAGCCGGCTGCCGCGATCGAGTTGGACACACGCGCCCGACCAACCACACGCCTGATCTCGCTAGACAAGACCCGTGCGCGCCGCGCACACGGCACACGTTTCGCGCCCGAGTTTCACCCGATACACACAGAGACCACCGGAATCCCCGAGAGCTGAATCCATTCGAGAACCGTTAATCCACACGCACCAAGAGTATATGTATATATATATACATATATACTATATACCCGTGTGTATATACGTACATATATATATGTATATATACACATATTTATTAGACTTTTAAGGCGACCCCGCAGAACTGGCTAGGAAAACGGGTGCGGACCACAACGAACGACACCCCTTGTTGGCCCCGAATCCCGCGTGACAACCGATTAGACAGGCTCGAAAAGAGGCTTTTGACGATCGTCATCACCGATGCCGTCGTATTATGTCACGCTGCCTGGCGAACGACGACGACCGCACGACGACGGTGAACCGAGCGAGCCGAGTTGTCGTCGTTTGACATTTCCAGCGGCGCGGAGCGGGTAAAACGTGGGCCCAGCATTTACCCGTGCACGCGCCTCCCGGCAGGCCCCAGGTGTTTATGCTCGGTGCTGCTCGCGGTGCCGACGAACCTCGGTAGAAACAATAACGATAATAACGGCGGTAATAATCGGAAAAATCGGGCCGACGGTAATAATAGTATAACCGTGTAGACGAGGGACACTTTTCGCTCCAGTGACTTGAACGTATCTCTTGGTGACCCGCGTGGATCTTGCGATTAATGTACGCGTATAGGCGCGCACTGGCCGCGTGCGGCCAATCGGTCTCTCGCGGCTCTTGATTATGAGCGCCGATCGCTTCGCGGAACCGTGAGAGATTGCTGGTGCTCGATAGTCGAAGGACAACTTCGTGGGTGCTCGTTTCAAAGCACGGTCAGTGGAGTTTGAGGGACTTGTGAAAAACTTGGTCGGACCTGGATCCACGTACGGAAGATATTGTGGACGTGTGGGATGCCTACGAGACATTGAAAGGTAAATTGACAATATTTCGACGGTAATGGGATCTGGCTTGGACCAGGAAATGGAATGTCCTCACTGAGACCGCCGCCGCTGCACCGCGCCGCGCCGGTAGATTGCGGAATGCACGGTACGCAGAACTATTGTAATTTTTCGTACGATAAAGGCGTAACATTTGATACTTTGAAAGTTAACGGGTTAGTTTGCTTTTTGGTTTATTTTACTTTTCAGTTTGTTGGATTGTGTTATGGCGAACGGTGGAGAATAGTTTTAGAATTTGGACAGAGTCGGCTTTTATTGGTTCGGTCTTTTTAAACCACTGCTTGAGAACAGCGACGCAGGCCGGTAGTGGATTATGTTTGATCGTGCCGGAACTTTTTTTGATACAAAGTAGTGTTTAATAATGTTCACAATATATAAAGAAGTAAAATTGTGTTCAATAGCCGCAAGTATTTTGTATATATACTTTACTTTCATTTACATACGTTAAGCAAAACGTATGTAAAATATTATTTTATTTTATCTCGTGTCATTTGAACGCGTACTTTAGACATTTCATACATTCTTTTATGCTTGCAACGTGACTCGTATGTAACCCGGTATTGGTTGAGAGAGTTATTCGTTCTATTGTATTTATTGAAGCCATGGGGTGGAAAGAAAGTATAGGTATGGGATGATGAAGATCGATTTCTTTTATCAGAGTCATTTTAAATGAACACTGAATGAAAATTGAATGGATTATATGCAACTAATAGTATTGAAACTATGAAATTTGGAAAATGGCGTGGTATAAGGGTTACTGCGACATTTTGAGGGGTAGTTATCTTCAGCCTTCCGAGTATACGTTCTTATAACCAGTATAGACTTAGAGAAACGAGAGCACTTCAAACTACTTTTACTAAAGTATTATTGTGAATTAAGTATACTTAAAATTTCTTTCAAATTTCATTAAATTTCTGTTAGATCATTATATCCATTATATTAATGATTGTTAAAAATATTCATCCGTGCCGTTTGCGGTATCTAAAAAGTATTAAGGTATTCAAAATAAAGATAGCAGTAAAAGTAAAGAATATCATAATCCAGGACATAAAAGGTTAAAAACACATTTGGTCAAAGTATTGCAGACAACTTTTATTTCTTTGTAACAGAATTAATAAAATTCAGAATTAATTATAATTTGTCTAAATTAGAATCCCGTTGATCAGCATTTAATTATCAGTTATTATTAATTATTTCTCATCATTTAATTATACAGGAAAGCGTGAGAATATAAAATATTAAATTAGGCTAGTGCGAATCGGTAAAGGTTATGGTTAATTTTAGTTACAAAGGCGTTAATACACATGGCGTTGTATACCATTCTACTTACTCTTTAGGCTCAGTCTTGTCATTTTTCATTTACCATTACATTAAAATTTCATTCATTTCAATTGATGTCTGTTTATCTGAACCAATTACTGAACATGTTTCTGACTCTTTATTATCCGAATCCAAGCCACGCGACGCAACGTGTACCGCTTATATTTGCTTCGTAACCAACTTCAAAACAAAAGATAGTGTATTTGGGCAAAATACACGCTTATCGACGAAAATTAAGGAACAAAACAAATTTAACGAATATCGTATCTGTTATCCACGTTTCTACGTAATTAATGCATATTAATTTTCTGTGTTTTTCCGTTTTTGCAGACTAAAGAATGCGTTTCTTCAATCTTATTCCGATAATATCTCGCACAAGCAATAATATCATGAGGAATGTTCATTTGATTTATTTGTACATGTTTTGCACATTACATTACCTTTGATTAATTATTTTGCTCTTCAACTTCCGTCGTGGCATAGTATATCTTTGATTAAAAATCTAGTTATCACAACATCTGTAATGCTGTGAAATATTTACAATTTTTATTCACTCATCATTTGCAATGTTAAGTTTTCCATATTATGACGCAGGGAACGCATAATACACATCCCGGTTTTAACGATTTCAATTGAATAAAAATTTTGCTTAATACACTCGAGACTTTACAGTATACGAATATTACTGTTTTGAAAGCAAATAAACAGTAGTTACTGGTATTATTAAGATTTCCGTAGACCCCCAACAAACACTCTTGCATGACTTCCCGCTTCGCTGCGATGTATCGCTAGAGGTGGACAAATATTATTTCAAAATGTGTTCTATCGACTAAAAGAGTGGTTCTAAAATATTAGTGGAATCTAAGTGCAGTGTCTAAGTTGATTCGTACGAAGCATGGTTGTAATTAGTGGAAAAGGAAATTAGCAACTTTTTATTATCCGAATGATTCGGCTATCTAAATAGTCCTGTCCCTCGACAAGGTTATCACGTTTCTGGATTCATTCGTATGTGTATGTGTTATTTAAAATTAGACAGATTCTGAAGAATAATTTTTTTATTTGTTTATAAAATAATAATCATAATAATTATAACAGTGAACTATGCATACATTAATACGCTTCAGATAATTTTATAGTGGGTGCAATGATATTGTGTCTGCCATTCTTTTATGTCGCTTGATAAATTAATGTATAGAACATCAGTGTCCTGTTGTGTAATGTGTAGAATTTATCTAATCTTAATTAATTGGTCTTAATATCCATCTTCTGGAACACGCCATCATCTATTATCATCTGCGTCATTGTTAGAATCGAAGATTTTCGGTGGAAGAGTTAAGTTATGTGTATCTTCTACAAATTTTGTGAAGTGATTTAATTTTCTTCGCGCTGATACGTTTATTACAATTATAAATATAAATAAATTAGTATCCTAGCAATGAGATGTACATATAATCTTATAGAAAAATCTGCGTACATCTCCCAAATTCTTCAAATTGAAGGATACATCAGGATAAATCATACTAATATCGGAAAGTTTTATACCATAATGGTTTTTTGTTTAAAAACCGATATGTTAAGAATAAAACTGATCTTGACCACCACTCTATATTTATGAACTCTATATTTATGTTTTCTGTTTCTTTCCCACTTGTATTAGTTAGATTCAAAAGAAACCTAAACAGTCGAACCAACTATTTAAAAAAAATGATCTATATTTGTTTGTGGAGTTGATTGCAACTTCCGACGCCATTGTCTAAGCCGATACTAAATTTGCCGAGTGAATAATACTTATTTAATTTCGTGGATGTCAAGCTTCATAGCCCGCATACATTATTGTTCCAAAAACCAATTTAACATTTGGCAAACTTCCCTCGTAACGATACTCCGCATTTCCTTATTTCTATCGCATTCGCAGCCGCCGACGCGAGTGCGCGTCCTTTACGATCCTGTTTCCGCTCGCCCAGTAAACAAAAAAGATCTGTTTATTCCAAACAACAGTTAACCCTCTATGGGCCAAATTCTTTTTCGCGGCTATAAAAAAATGCATGTAGTATAAAATTAAGAAATATCAACCTGTAAATACAAATGAACAATGCATTCAATAGTTTTAATAATTGTATTAATATAAATATACCTTGTAATTTTGAAATTACAATGACGTTGAACTTTCACGGCTGAGTGTACAAAGGTTTAAGTTAATTAATTACTTGATTTTATTCGCCACTTTACTATGCAAAATGAAATAAATCAATAGGATGCCAATATATTGGTATGTAATTTCAAAGTGACACGAGCCTGCAAAGGGTTAATCGCAAACTTCACGTGTCAAAGCAAACTTGACAGTTTGTATCCTTCTCTTAACACGTTGACGGCTACGGTGGTCATTGATGGCCAGAGTTTTCAAATTACTCGAGAATTATTATAATAAGAAAGTTGATGTCGAATAAAAACATTTAGTAACAGAAGTACATAGCTAGATAATAGTGTAATGTGAACACTATGATACTAAATCATTAATATCAAAACATAACGACACTTTGTACATGCGTATACCTACTGTAACTGGTGAAATAGCTAGTTATAAAATAAAGGTAAACAAGTTAAACGATAAGCACTTCTTATTAGTAACAGGAACAGAAGGAAAGGCGAAAATAGAAAAATTAATTAAGCGGATAATGTAGGGACTGATTTAATGTTAAATGGGCGAAGAAAACGGAGAATTTTAAATTAAATTTTAAAATTGGTCATTTGACCATTCACGGTACGTTTACTGTTAATAATTATTTCTAATGCCATTTGTCTTTGCTATGAAAAAATATATATTTTTACACAAAACGCTAGAAATTCTTCTGGCAGTTAATGTGTTAACACTAGAGTTACTGAGCATTTATTAGGGTTGATGTGTAATCCTTACAAAGATTCCAACAATTCATCTTTTATGATTCTTTTAGATATTCATTAGAAGATATAGCTGAAACTATTTATTCTCGAAATATTGCGGGCAATAACGTAGAAAAATGAAGTGGGTACTCGCCAAACGCAGGGCAAATGCACTTAGGGTATTTTAACGAAAAACCAAAGCAAAACAAAGAAGAATTACATGTTTATCTGAAAAAATAAAGAATTAATCGTGGAAAGAATTAATATGATTTCAATCTTTAAGATGACATGTATACTCGCCAAACGCACTTAATTGGTTAAAATAACAATAATTGCTAAATGAGATACCTAAAACCCGCCATTTTGACGGGTACGGTAGTTCTAGTGTTAATCTTTAAGTACAGACGTGAATTTGACCTTTAAGTATGAAAGTCTGAAAATTAACGATTAATATTAGACGTTTGTAGCAACCAATAAAGAAATTTATCATGTCTATTTGTTTTTAGTTATTCAATCATCTCCACATAGCAATGGTATCAACTATACAATGAAAATTTCACTAATTCCAAAGTTCACGATATTTTATATAGAAGTCTGCGAGACTGAACGTCCATACCTAAAGGTTAACAACAAAAATGTCTGACGACCAGCCTTAAAATTTCTTTATTCGAGCCACCTCTCGTCCAGAGAGGAAAGTGAAAATATTACCAGCCGCGAATATTTTAATACACAATATTTCCCAAGGACCGATCAGATTTTTTTCTGCGAACCGG